TAGAGTTGAGTTCTGGGGGGTCCGGGTGCCCGCCCTCCCCTGTGAGCACCGCGAGCTGCCGCCGGCATCATCGGGAAGAGCAATATCGGTTTTGTATATTTCTATTATTATTCATTTTAATATGATTTATACTCTTTTCACTGTTATTGTTTTATTAAAGTTTGTTTCAAGTTTCCAACCCATCAGTCTCTCTCCCTTTTCTCCTCTCCTTCCCCCTCCGGGAAGGGACGGGTTTAACAGAGAGCATCTGCCACCTGCTGCAAGCGCCGGCCCAGCCTCAAAGGGTGACACAGGCTTTCCTGGAATGAACGTAATTCCTTGAGCGAAATGCTGGAGAAGCAAGGCAGGTATCTGCAGCTTCTCCAGACAGGGTAGAAGAATATGCATGGCATTTCCTTCCCAGCAGGTCCCCTCTGAGCAGCCACACGCTTGCCTGCCCTTGAGAACGGATTAATTTACGATGAATTAATGGGGCAGAAGCAAAGGGGCACACTTCCCTTGTGCCTCCAGAGGGAAACTTCTCATTGGCAAATCGTGCAACTGCAAGAAGTGATGCTCTAGGTGGGAACTTCCCACCCATGATAGCTGTGTCCAGCCATGCGTGTAACCCGGGGACTTGAACGATCTTTGGGCTATGGATCTTAATGCAAAGAAGGGACCGAAGCAGCGCGGAAACAGTCAGTAAAGGGCACTAGACACAGAACGAGGACTGCGGTGCAGATCTTGCGTGCTATGTTTTGGTACAACTCTTACTGACCCAGTCGTTCCTTGAAGGAGGTGTCTCACCATTTGTTCTAACACTTGAACTCGACATGCCGTAACCCAGACATTTTAGCAGAGGCAAGACTTCCATCTCATAAATGTTAAACTGTTTATAGGGACTGTCTGTAGGTTCTGAAGCAGACCTCTAGCTTGTTGAAATGCATGGAGCTTTGCTAGTCAGGATGTGCCTATGTCAAACTGCCTCAGAAGAAATTCACATCCTTTACAGGTTTACGTATTATTTTCCTCCTATTTTTTGGTAGTTTTATAGTGAGAGGAGAAATACTGCTTGCAGAGATGCCAGACACTCAGCTTGTGTTTGAAGAGACCCATGCTGGAGCTCAGAACCCCATCAGGGATGCACTGATTTCCTTTGTGTGGGCAAACCCCCCTAGTTAGCACCTTTTAGATAGGAGCATCCCAACACTGGGAAAAAATGCAAAGAAAAGGCAACAGGTGCAGCGATGCACTCTGGATTCGCCAGCTAGTGAACAGATAACCACCAGGAGTTTTGCAGGGTCATGAACTACAGATTTTATTGTTTTTGAGACAGGTTGAAGCAAAACAGTGATGAAAAGCATTAAACATCCCACACACCAAGAGGAAAATTAACAGCAGGACTAATGCTTACAAAGGAAAACCACACTGATCAGTGGGTAGCAACTCCAAAGCACGTTACAAGCATTTGGTGATTAAAGGCAGGCAAAGAAGAGGAGAGATGATGTGCAGTCTCTAAGCAAAGGAGGAAGAGCCTTTAGGGTGGTATCCATGTCTGTATCCAACACCGAACGAGACAGGAGGGGAGCAGCAGGCAGCTTGCCCTTCGCCGAGCGGGTTTAGTTGCCGCAGCAGCCACTGTTGCTGTTGTTGTTGCTCATGATGTAGCAGCAGGTTGGCATGGGCATGCAGCAGGAGCTGGGGTAGCAGCACTGCATGGGCGTGCAGCAGCTCTGCGTCTTGCAGCACTTCGGGCTGCTGTAGCAGCAGTGGGCTTGGCAGCCCTTCGGGCTGCGTTAGCAGCAGACGGAGTAGTTGTTATTTCCACCGCAGCATCCACAGCCTCCGTTGGGCATGTTGTTGGTAGTAGGGTAGGCAAAGCTGGAAGGAGCAGAAAAAGTCTCTTTTTCTCTGCCTTAATCTCCCAGTTCTTTAGGCAGCTTAAAACATGCTTATCCCAAAGTCCATCCCAAACTGGCTGGGGAAGTCCCTAATGTCCAGAATCCCACGACAGCCTGTCCCTGCCATCTCCACATTTTTGCATTGGACACTGGCGCATTGGGCATATTGTCCAGCACCGGTTCCATCAGAAAGAAGCCACCCAGGTGGATCCCAAAACTAAACTCTCAAAATTGGTTTCAAAGCAGACAGTTCAGGAAATCCTGGATGGTTTCCTGCAAAAGCACACAGAAGTATGGTAGAGTGCAAATGAAACGGCAAGTAGTAAGCTCTGACTTACCCTGTTGACCTGTGACAAGAGAGAAGTCAAGATGAGCGAATGAAAACCACTGTGATGGGGAGCCTTTTATACGCTTCAAAGCCATCCCCCTGGAAATGAGGCATTCTTTGGCAATTCTGACTTCACCGTGTATCACCCGGTATATGCCTGTCACGTGTCTTCTGATATTTAGTCTTTACCTCTTTCTGTTTGCTCACCTCCTCAATTCTGCACCATAATTAGTTATACATATACACAACAGATGCAAATTTTCTAATGAATTTGCATTAATGAGATGAGGAGTTAGCTGTAAGGTATTCCTCTCCACTTCCCAAGGAATGACCTTGAGACATAGAGACACTTAACAACGTGCCCAGGGGAGGCGGGTGCTGAAGCAGTGGGAGAACCATGCCTGGAACTCGGAAAGGTCACTGCTCATATGTCCCTTCCGCGCTGGGCTGGGATTTTGAGGGACCAGTGGAAACTGTTGGTCAGTGAGAATCCTTTTTCCTGCCTCTGAGATGTGGCTGTGTGGTCAAAGTTCAGACTGAAGAGTTTCTCCTTTCTCAGTCTTGTTCTTGGGTCTCCCTCCATGGTGCTTGGTCTTCACACCCCCTGCTTTTTACTTCTGCTAAACTATTAAGAACTTTTTCGTTTTCATCCGTGGAGGGGATGGTTTAAGTCTGAATTAAGCCGCTTTCCAAGCAGTAGTGCACACGTTAGCTTTTTTCTGTGGTGTTTCCGTACACTCCGTTTTCTGTGATTATTTCTAAGGTCTGTGGGACCGAGACAGCTTGTATTTAACAGTATTTGTGACGATCACATTTGAGTGTTGCACACTAACAATTCGGTTCTGTGTCACTATAGGCAAGGATGAGGTTCAAGACTAGAAATCCAATCCTGAGTGCATTTCTCCATGCCTTTCCTCTGTACCTCGGGAGCCCATCTGATATCTCACAGATGCTCTGAGTTCGGGCACCCGACAGGACTTTTCCAGCAACTGCGTATAGTGGTTTTGGCTGCAGAGTGCTAAGGCCAAGAGTGCTGTCCATGCAAAGCTTGACCGAACAGTCAGAAGGGAATGGATAAGATGATTGGAGGCGAGGCAGACATTATGATACAGGCTTGGGGATGGGGGAAGGAATTGTGGCCACGTGCAGAGCCAGGACATCTCCATGTGAGAAGAAGAAGGTGTTGATGGACTTTCCATCTGATGAGAGGGGACATCAATATAAGATGAGAGTCCCAAGATGCTGAGGCAGCATCTATTCGTGGCATATAAAGGCTGCCATCACCTTCAGCAGACTCTGAATGTGAGGTTGGAGTGGTGGCAGGTGATCCATGGTGGCTGGGACACGTAGTGTCTTCCCAAGATGCAAACATGGCCTGCTATGACATAGGGTGTCTCTTCTGGAATTGTCCCTAGGGGAGCATTGTTTTGGTCATGGGATAATAGCCAGATACGTGCTTGCAGGAAGTAATGCCCTCTTTGTGTAAACCCTCAAACATGTCGTCCGCTGAATAAGTCATTCATTGCCTTTTTATCAGGTTTTATTGTCACCATATTGGCCGAGATGATCCCTGTGTTAGAATTGTAGACTCATAGAATGGTTTGGGTCGGAAGAGACCCTTCAAGGCCATCTAGTCCAACCCCACTGCCATGAGCAGGTACATCTTCCACCAGATCAGGCTGCTCAGAACCCTGTCCAACTTGACCTTGAATGTTTCCAGGGATGGGGCATCCACCACCTCTCTGGGCAACCTGTTCCAGTCTTTCACCACCATCCTTATGAAAAATTTCTTCTATCTAGTCTGAATCTCCCCTCCTTTAGTTTAAAACCATTACCCCTTGTCCTACCACAACAGGCCCCACTAAAAAGTCTGTCCCCATCTTTCTTATAAGCCTCCTTTAAGTACTGAAAGGCTGCAATAAGGTCTCCCCAGAGCCTTCTCTTCTCCAGGCTGAACAACCCCAACGGTCTCAGCTTTTCTCCATAGCAGAGGTGTTCCATCCCTCTCATAATTTTTGTGATCACTCCAACAAGTCCATGTCTTTCTTAGAAATGGATGTCAACCCTGCAAGGCTGTCGTTAATCAGGATCTTATATAGACATTGAGGAGATACTGGCATTTAATGTATATTTGGGTCAGAAATAACATTTTCTACGCTAAATCCCTTTTACATGCCATGCCATGATGTCTTTGCAGACTTCCATGGTCGTTATGTGAATTTGAGAGCTGCAGTACCTTCGTGAACAGGAAGGAATCTGTCACAGCAGCTTTTCTGGCATATGATGAAATTAATATTCACAAGATTTCCTTAACAGAATGTACTTCTGATCTAGTATGTTATGGTATGATATAGGATATCTTTCTGCCACTGTATTGTACCTGATTTCCCTATTAATAAAAGCTCCTAAAGACCTGAGTAATGTTTTCAGAAGAGTCTGACACGGTAGAGAAGATTATTTTAATGCAGGCTTTGTGTATGCTCTGAAGATTTGGCTGAGGGAAGCAATCAAGACAGTGCTCAAGGCATTTTCCTGGGACATGCAATTCAGAGCCGAGTCCTGAATTTTAATAGTAAAGGAAGTCCCAGCCAGGTACAAAAGGTATTGTTGACTCATATGTGTGCTATTTTAGGAATGAAGCTTTTAAGTTGTATGCTAACACCTGGGTTTCATTCCACTGCTTATGATCCAGGAACGCCGCATATGAAAATCTCTGCTCACATAAAAATAATTCACCGATTTAGGGTGTTTTCTGAAATTTTACTTTTGAAGATGACAGTGGAAGAAGATGGTGCCTGCTACTCAGTGAGTAGTGAATTCCCCTCAGTATCTATTGAAATACCTATTCCAGTATGAGGGATGAGTTCCTATACATCTTGTGGAGTGGTGTGTTGTCAGAGGGTGGAATTATGCATGCTTCATTGAGCCCGCGTCCTTTGAGTTTTATTTATCTCAATCATTTAGTTTTCTAGCAAAAAATTGAGCTGAGTCAGATGATCAGTAGGTGCAAGAAGGGATCATACTGATCTGCTTGCTGTCTTTAGACATGACCTAATTTATGCCAATTAGAAGCAGAGCTGGGCGGCTCTTTGTGTCCTAAATGTTCTGCTGTGCCACAGGAGCACGTCCGTAGCCAGTAGAAGCCTGGCCAAAGGCATAGAAAACGGCACCAGAATGAGGATGCATTCTGGGCAAAGTGATGTAAGAACAACCAAAAGACAAGATTTTTGCATCTTGCTTAATGCTTACTTTTATTGGCCACAAGTCAAGAGAGAAAATGAAGAATGATCACAGTAACAGCAAAGGTATCCCAAGTCCCATACACCACGAAGAGAATTATTAGCCTCACTACTATCTAATAGCTCTTTGCCTTATACAATGGGCGATATATTCAAATGCATTGCAGATGTTCAATAAAGGACAGAAGGAAGACAGATTAAGTTTGAAAACAAGAAGAAAATCGCCTGGCGTTTACTCCATAATCATGTGAACCAGAAGCAAATGAGCAGGTCTTCATCTCCTTGCGCCTGTTCTTGTTGCCCAGAGCTGGCAGAGCTGCTTTTGCTACCCAGAGTTGGCTCAGCAACTCTTCTTGATCGTGGTGCAGCACTGCTGGATGGGGATGCAATACTTCCTCATCGGAGAGCAATACTGCACGGGACTGCAACGCATCACCACGGGCTTCTTCACCACGTAGGAGCATGGAGACAGACATCCCGAGCAGCAGCAAGGTCGCTGGCCACAGCAGAAGGACTTCTGGCACACCTTGGTACAGCAGATGGTCTGCTGGCATGGGTCACAGCAGGGCTTCTGGCACGGGTCACAGCAGGACTGCTGGCATGGGTCACAGCAGGGCTTCTGGCATGGGTCACAGCAGGACTGCTGGCACGGGTCACAGCAGGGCTTCTGGCATGGGTCACAGCAGACGGATTGCTGGCACGGGTCGCAGCAGGGCTTCTGGCATGGGTCACAGCAGGACTGCTGGCATGGGTCGCAGCAGGGCTTCTGGCATGGGTCACAGCAAACAGACTGCTGGCATGGGTCGCAGCAGGGCTTCTGGCACGGTTCGCAGCAGGACTGCTGGCATGGGTCGCAGCAGGGCTTCTGGCATGGGTCACAGCAAACAGACTGCTGGCATGGGTCGCAGCAGGGCTTCTGGCACGGTTCGCAGCAGGACTGCTGGCATGGGTCACAGCAGGGCTTCTGGCACGGGTCACAGCAAACAGACTGCTGGCATGGGTCGCAGCAGGGCTTCTGGCA